ATCATTGATCACCCGCCACCTCACCTCTTTACAATAAAAATATTTTGAACAAAATCATCATGATCATAATTATTTATCTACAAATCCATTCCACAAATCTCATTCACAAATTCATTTTACACTTCCCTTCCTATGATCATGATAATGTACTGGTAGCATTAAAAAAATACTGTTATACTTTAGACATACCAAATACGCAGACGTGACAATGCGCTCAGTCTGAAGAGAACCCTGTCGTCTTCGGACCCTGGCCGATCTGGCCCGCTGCAAGATGGCCGCCTTATTGGGATTATATGCCATACTGTCTAGTTGTGTCGATAAATCATGAATGAAATAATTCTCGGATTCTACATCCAAATTTCACGCAAATGTTTACCACACCTCCACAGTTTGTGTACAAATACCATGATTACTGGTCAAGATCCTGAACAGTTACATTCACATCTTAACAATAACGTCAACGAGACTATTTCTGTTATTTCCTGATTCAAGGGCAATTCATATACTCCTTAATTGAAGCCCTGTGTATTTATAACTAAATGTAACATATTTAACTCTTATGTAACATTGAGACAAAGTAACAAGATGTACTATTATCTCTTAAAAGTGCAGCTAGGATGTTCATATATACCAGAGTACAAAGATTTTTCTTACTGATCAGCTGATTCAGGGGGGGGGGGGGGGGGATGAGCAGAGCCTGAGTGTCACATGTAAGAGTCATAGTGGCAGTCAGTCATGCTTCTCGGACAGTTAGAATATGAGGGTACTGTATAATTTTTAACTCCTTCGGCTTCAGTATTACTGGCCTAAAAATTATCAAATTACCAGAGAAAGACCAATTCAAACTGTAAAAGGAAAAATTTTAACAATCCCTGAAACAACTTTCACACACACTTAATATGCACTCTACATCATTCAATACTTGGAAAAAGTAAAAAAAAAAAAGTTAATGGATTTACATGTGGTGAAGTACAACAGTTTACTAATGTTTTAGCAAGTTTTCACTGATCAAAATAATCCAGACCTAAACATTTTACATAACCAAAAACATACAATATTATTTTTGTGAAAGCACAATTTAGGCTTAGAACCAAATAATACCTTTATTGATCTAAAAATCAGACAATTCATAAATGTACACGTACAAACTCTCAACTGAACTTTCACTTCCTCTGTATGTAATAATACATTATCATGATTATGTTAACACATCATTCTAAAATAAGGAAACTCTGTCCACCTCCACATTTCATCCCCAAATGAAGTTCCGTAGATCTTAAGGTTTTCATTAATACAGTATAAGATTTGTTTCTATCTTTCTCTTTTGTATGTTTGCAAGAAGCAAACAGTTTTATCAGGTTTTGTTTAAATGTCAAATTATTGTAAAATACATGCCCACTGATTTAATTTTGGGACAGTTTCACTAAACTTTTGGAAATACTGTATGTGTACTTTAAAAAGCGGGCTTCATATTTAAGCAGCTTTGGTGCAGACAATGATGCGCTAATTCATGAATACCGCTAAGAAATCATTCATAAATACAATATATGGCATAAGCATGTATAGCACTAATTCATGATTTCACCAACAACTCCATATCCAGTGATTTCACTAAATTTTGAATACGCCAATTTATGTACACGTACAGTACCATGGTAAAAATGCAAATTCCAGAATTTTTTTTTTATTTGCAGTTGTTGCTCAGTTAAGTGGAAATTATATAGAAAATATTAGATTCCTTAATTTTATCTTCTTATGTACACATATTCTATATTATTCTATATGCCAATCAAATGTTGAAAAAATTTCTAAGCCTTCATGAGTTTTTTTTTCCAGTTTAGAATAAAGATATAATTTTGCATTGTTAAGTAATTTTGGCAGGTAACCATGGTAACCACATGTATTATCCTAAAATATGTCAGAAGTTTTCATTAATATCTAATAAATACATTTTTGATTAGTCTGCCTGAGATTAAACACACCAAAACACTCTTATACATAAAGACATTTCAAATGTTCAAATCTTGTAACTTTCTTGTAATTCCTTCACCCAGAAAATAATTTTTTTTTTTCAATTTTACAAGTGTATATCATTACAGGAAACATAAACACTTCAAAAAACTCTTCAAATCTTACTCTTTCTCCTTCTTTTCTTTTAGAGGGCAAAAACAACATACAAAGGAAGCTTTTTATGATGAAAGCGATACATGCCAGAGATCATGCATTCAGATTTCACAAAATTTCCACAACTTACAGTATCAGTTAGAATGGAAAGCAGCAACACGTCCGCGGACTGTCTGTCCATTCTCCTATCTGAGAAGTTCCCACTGACGCGGTACCTAGTCATCACCTACTCACTAAATTCTCCTACCATTAACGTCCTCGAGATACACTCGAGATGGTGACCAGCCTCTTATACAGCTCTAGATGATACCCCCAACCAAAGATCGTAATACAGGAAAACCTCTTCCTCTAAACAAGTAGTATAAACACAGCCTCTCTATACGACCTATGCTGTCCTTAAAAATTACACACTATACATGTAAAAATAAATTGTTTGTGTCCTATAATCTCGGCATAAATAAGGTATATAAGAACAAGGAAACCTTCAAATGTGTTCGAAATTACTAAAAATAGTTTTAATGGCTTAGAGCCATTAATTACTCCTCATAATTTGTTCCGCATATCATGAATATCTTTAAGTTGGATATCTGAGTTTCAAAAATTGATGATATACATGTGAATTACTAGTACAAACTATGTACGTTTCACCTACTAGTATGTCAAAGAGTTTGGAGATTTTTTACGGATATATAAAAAACAGAGAACTTAGCAAAAATACAGTATCTGTGCCATTTTTACAGTGAAAATGTTTAACATTGTATATATATGGTATAGTGGAAAATGTTTAACATTGTATATATATGGTATAGTGGAAAATGTTTAACATTGTATATATATGGTATAGTGGAAAATGTTTAACATTGTATATATATGGTATAGTGGCCAACTGTACAACATCTGCTTCCATAAAACTAATAAAACAGTTAATACATGTACACTGAAAAATATCAAATGCCAGGAAAACAGAACTGTACTAGCATGTTTATATTAAAGATATTACTCCTATAGATCAGTATGGAAGACAAAGAGAGATAACTCTAAGTAAAACATATTTCTGTTGAATCTCTCAACCTAGCATTATATTATAAACATCTCTATGCAATAAACAGTATGAATTTTATTTTCCAACCACTGTCAATTATTTTTGCCTAACTGCAAATTAAACTGAAGTAAAACAGAACAAAATATTTGAAATTTTACACACTACCAATGCAATACCGGTACATAAAATATTTGTGGAGGTGTCAGAAAGCAACTCTTTTTTTTTAACCCTCTTATTCAAGAAAATGATGTCTTTGTGATACCCACAACTTACTGAAACAATAGCAACCTTTGTTTCAGTAGCATGAGGCAACAACAAAAATTAACAGTCCCTTCAATAACATTGATCTAGTTTTTCCAGTATTTATCCAAGAAATCAAATAATAACCCAATATTTGACTATTAGAACTGATTTGCAGACTTTGTTAAATAAGATCTTATCAGAAAGAACCAATTCTACCATGAACAAGAGGCCCATGTGTCACATCTCTCACCTAAGCACTTTTGCTAGAGAAAAGCAAAAAATCAATTCATTGTTGAAAAGTTTAGGTATATAAGTAGTCCCAACCTACCCCTCAGAGGGTCATGATTTGAACAAACTTGAAACTACACTTAGGATGCTTCCATATTTCTTTGACTGATCATGGCTTAAGAAGACTGTTAAAGATTTTTTTCCTATAAATACCTATGTGAAAGTTTGATTTTCTATTGTAGCACCTCCCTACCCCCTGGGGTCATGATTTGAACAAAATTGATTCCACATTTTCTGACTAATCATAGCTTTGTTTTTCTTGAGAAGATTTTTAAAGATATTTCCTTTATATTCCTATGTAAAACTTTTATCCCCTATTGTGGCCCTACCCATCTCCATGGGTCATAATTTGAACTTAAATCTACACTATGTAATGAAAATTTCACAAAAGTTTCATCTTTTCTGGCACAGTGGTTCTTGAGAAGAAGATTTTTAAGATATGCTTTTATATTTTCACTAATTCTTAATTTATTTATCTTCCCTTAAAAGAGAGTGTGGCCCTTCATGTAAACAAATTTAAATCCCCTTCACCCAAGGATGCTTTGGGACAAGTTTAATTGAACTTGGCCCAGTGGTTCTGCTGAAGCCAACACATGATAGACACCATACATATTTCATTCAGGAAGCTCCCTTGAGCCTTTGCTCAGCTGAGTAAAAAAAAGACTAATCATGGCTATCATCCTACGTAAAAATTTGATTGCCCATGTGTCCCTACCCTAGCCCTGGGGGGTCATGATTTGAACAAATTTGAATCTACCCTACCTGAGGATGCTTCCACATAAATATGAAGAAGTTGAAAATCTGAAAAGCTTACAGACCACAGAGAAACACCGGACACCCTTCGATCAGAAAAGCTCACTTGAGGCTTCAGCTCAGATGAGCCTAAAAGGACACTGCAGCACTGTATATAACTACTGTAAACCAACTTTTATTAGAGTGCGACAAATATCCTTGAGTTTCACGACCAACGTTAACTCGCAAATAATATTATCGCTTCGAACCATTTATTTTGCTTGTATTTATTTGTAGAGAATGTTTCCTCAGTCGCGAAAATTAATCGTCACGGATTGATTTCAAATTGACGACTCACGAATACAAGATGACACGAACAATAGTTGGTTTACAGTATTTGCACACTTGACTTACCTTGTATATTATATATTTACACAAATGTATCCTACCTTTGACACATATTTTGAAATTCTCTCGCACCACAATTCTGTGGATGTATGGTAATGTTCAAATCAGGTCTCTGTTGTTAAACTTCTCGCCTAAAATCTAAAATCATTAGAATTTTGCTCACCTTTATAGCTAGAGAGTAACCCTCTGAATAGCGTCTGGTCACATCAGCTGGAGAAGAGATTCTGAGAGCGTGGTCCTGCTCAAATCGTTCAATCAGGCCCCCCATACCACTATTGTTGTGTGGAAAATCAAAATCTTCCACATCTGAATCAGGCTGCTGGTGCAAAGTGGGTGGAGCTGAAGGAGAACGCAGCTGGTGGAAAGGTGGAAGATGTGCTCTAGGACTCAACTTCTTATTCGCTTCCATTTCCACTTTCTCTACTTTGCTGTTGTTGAGAGGGGTTGTGAAACTATCTTCCATTGTTCTGGGAGGAACAGATACAGGTCGTTGCAAATCACTGTGTGAAAAAGAGCGAAACATGTCACTATTTTTGGAAGAGTTTGATTCATGATCACTGTCATTGGCTTGGTAAGATTTATTCCCCTTGAGTGAGGAAAATGCCCTAAATCTTGATGTATTGAGCGGATCTGGCATGGCTCTTATACTGAACTTGTCTTTCTGTTTATTTAATGTTGAGCAATCATCACTACTATTGGACCTGTTCAATCTCCGGAACACACTAGAGGGTGCTGGCATTAGCTGGGCATCTCTTAAAGGTGTTGGCATGGTTTGCACACCTGGCGAACAATGTTGAACAGGACCATCCACCAAAGGAAAACTTGGATTCTGCCAAACAGCTTGAGGAGGATTAGGTGCTTGGTTTTCTGGTAGCCTGACCGCTGCATCTGCTCCATGCACTTGGCCTGGATCATGTCTACCAAGACCAAGTCCGCTGTCACTATTGCTGCTATTGCTGACACTTCTTCTAGGTTCTCTGGAAGGATCAGCAAAGGCCTGTGATAAGGCTACTTCATTGTCGTTGATGCCAGCAGGACGATCTTTGTACAGATTGGTAATGGAGACAATGATAGGAGTGGCTGATCTAGGAAACTCTGTACAATGGCTTCTCTCCTGGTGATGTCGATCTGGGGCTGTGGTACAGGTTATTCCAAAAGTTTTGGCTTTTTGAGCATGGATGTTATGGAATCTCATTTCAGGGTCTACCATGAATACATGGCATGACCCACTAGAGGCAGACTCTTCCTCCTGACTAGCAGTTCCATCACTCATCTCATCTCCACTAACACTGTGTAAAGTCACGATCCCAAAGAACCTTTTGTCATCAGGGCACACTCCGCTGAAGGCCAACCTCTCTACTGGATAATGAGCCACAGTGGTTCCCATACCATTGGTCAACTTGACTCCTTCCTGTGAGATTTCCATCAAAACCAATGTATGGATCTTCTGTTCCACTCTTAATCTCCTCACAGCATTGCGGATGGACTGTAGCCTGATGTGAGGTTTATTGGCATCACTGGGCATTTCAATAGAACCGATGTAACCAACAATCACCCGCATGTCGTGGAAGCTACAATTCAACAGACTATCTTCATCATCACCATCCTCTTCATCATCATCCATGGCGATGAAGGCATTATTTGCCGAGTTAGCTTGATGAGCTGATGTTTTCAGGAAGGATGAGATTCCAGGTGCTATAAAGGACCCATGTAATGTCCCACTTGACTGTGATTTCATGTGTCTGTCATGCTGGCTGCTGGCCTTTTGAGAAGACTTGGCACTCTGTGAAGTACTCTTGACAACTGCTTGCTTAGTTCTGGGAAGCTGTAGAGAAAGAGGATCATGTGTTTTGTATCCATGTTTCTCAACCGATAAAGGTCGTGAAATTTTTGGTGTACTCAGACTAGAACTGGATGAACTGGAATAAACATTTTCAGCACCAACTGGCTCATGCAATCTTACTCTTGATTGGCCCTGAATAACTTTCAAATCACTTTTTGACCAATGAGGATCCTTGTGTTTGTAGTCATTGTGAGCATGCTTGTCTTTTTGGTTACACTCTCCAAGAATTTTTTCACTGTGGCGACTAGAGGCGTGACGTGGGCGAACCCTGTTTGGATATCTGGCTTTGTTTCTGTGGTGATACTCATCATCCGAGGAATCGGAACTGTTGTAATTTTCTGCCACTTGAAGGGTGAGTGTTCCCGTGGATATTCCCACCATTCTTACCACGTCGTCGTGTGGGAACTTGGTGACATTCTGATTATTTACAGACACCACGTAATCTCCCGTCTTTAGTCCGGCCACATCTGCTGGACTTCCCGGAACAATCACACTTAAAACACATGGATGCTGTCCAGATATGGTGAACCCATACCCTGATTTTCCCCTTGTGACATCCACTGTTTTCATCCCATGAATCGGCCTCTTTTTTCGCCTCTTTGGATGACTCGCCTGAGGCCCCAAATGAGGATACATGGTTAAATCTGAAAATAAACAAAAATCTTAAGTTTAGTTCATATATACTTGTAATCAAACAAGTAGTTAACTAGTTGAAATCAAAATTTGAACCATATGTGTCTATTTACACATGCCCATTATTTACATCCGCGATATCAAATTAGACTAACCATGCCAAGATTTAGGGTTAAAATTATTAATGCTAAACACCATTTTAGTCAAAGCTTTGTATATATTGACAATTAGTGCAAACCCGAGTGTCAAAATTGCACTTTTAAAATTAGTTTTCTTGTCAATTCTAAACCATAAAGAAAATCTCATTACCTTTTAGTGAGAATAACATCTCCCAATACTTAAAATTCCTACCACAAAATGAACAATGTTGAACAAGTGCAGACATTTAATGAAATTAAAAGGAAATGTTTATATGGGCTTTTACAACAATAGCTGATGTAATTAATGTTGTATAAGAGAAGAAAAGGTCCTACCCAAAGAATTAAATTCCAGCAGGCATATAAGAAGTCCAAAAGACACTAATGAACTAGTCTAATAGCCCTGTCTATACTTTCACTTATTAGGTATACACCTAGCTCGTGAACACCTTTAATAAATTACTTGTTTATCCTACCACCTATCTGTAAATGCCTATATCAAACAAACTTTTCTTCAGGATAATAAATGGAGGGAAATAACTTCCCTGAAAAAAAAAACATATTGATCATCAATCTCTTTTCATTTCCATTTTGTAGGTTTAATGAGTAAACCTGCAAAATATCAACAACAAAAAAATATGTACCTGGCCAGGTACATAAAATACATGTATTTTGGAAGTAGATATTTTGTGGTGGATAACTTTTATTTTCAAAATTTGACACAGAACATTACCTTTAAAAAATATATATATATATACCTACATGTTTAGAAATCAAGAACGTTTGAAGTCTATATATTTGAAGCTTGATTTATTCTGAGTGATTAATGGAACTGTGTGTATTGTATGTTGCCACTAATGTATGAGAAAACCCTGTTTAGACATGTAGGAATGTCTTCTGACAGGGAACATCAAACAACACGTCCCAAAACATAAGATCTCCATATAATAGTTCAAATCTTGCTAGACAAACACTGTGTTTTACAATCTTCTGTGCTTTTTTCCCTTAATAAATGAGAAAGCAATTGGATTTAGTTCACAATGATAGAAAAGGACTACTATTTAGCATTTACATGGTAAATGAAAGCAGCAATATACAACTCCTAAAAGGGAAATTTTGGTCACATGACTCGGTGCACCGAAGTGCAAAACATACATACACGACTGCAGACCTTGTAGCTCAACTGCCAACAATAACAAAAATAAATAAAAATCAACTATCTTGTATTCTATCCCATGTCAATGTTTATGTACCAGTCTAGTTGTATCTATGATACATTTTTATCTTAAAAATATGCATTACATTCTTTTAATTAAAAAAAAGGGGGGAGGGGGGTATATATATAAAAAAAAAGAAAATCAAATTCTGAAAAATTAGACTTTCTCTGCCTTCAATTAGGTTCAATTCAAATGCCAAAAGAAAATCGGGGCCAGCCCTGCTGCGGATTAGCAACACTAAGTATTTAATCCTATCTACCTACAAGATCAATGTTATCACTTCTGACTCAAAAATCTAAGGGACAATGACACAAAGCCTGACCAAGTGTCTGTCCATAAAAGCACAGATTAATATCTACTCAAGACATGCCCGACTATATATTCAAAGCAGGAAGGAATCTGTTATCTAAAAATCAGCATATACCACTTAACATACGTCATGTGCACAGTGCATAAAAATGTCACATTTACATGATGACTAGACTGAAACAGTCTAAAATGAAGACTTAATTTTAATTCAATTCATCATTTACATGTACATGCTTATGCATATTTTCTTCATATAATGCACAATTTGATTTGTCTCCCATGTCCGAATATATCTTGGATCTCTCTATGCAAAGTTCTGAAAGTTTTCCTGCATAATGCATCCTTCATAATGCCTTTTATAATTTAATGATAAGAAAATTACTAAATCAGTCTCTTTACTCAAAAAGATGCTTGAGTATGTAGTATGATAATTTAACAGAACTAACCTGCTTGAATAAACTAAATTCTGAAAGCATGCAATCAAATAAATCCTTTTATTATAATACTTATCAATCATCAACAGCCCATTCCAGACCAAACAACACAGCTGGACATAACAGCATCTATTATTTAGCAATAATCAGAAGGAAAAATTTCATTAGAGTCCCTGTGATTGCAATAAAATGACAGTTCTGTCCAAAATATTGATCGATGCAATGGCAAAAAAAAAATAGACTTAAAGTTGATTCTTATGAACAGAATGCATGTCAAGGTTACTGTAAAGGTACTAATACAGCACACATTTTACATTGGTGATCCAGATTTCATTTTGATATATTGATATATCGGTATATATTGAAAAACATTATGTAAACTGCATTAAATATTGCATTGACAGGTGTTAACGTTTTAAGATCATCAAAACAGTTTTTATGATTTTTAAAATTATCATGTCAGTTCTCTAGCACTTCTGTAGCAGTGAGAGATTTTATTTTTTCATTTTAATTTTCTTAAATGACATGACATTTTTTTTAAATAATAGTTCCTTGCCTAAATGACTAGAGATGTAACTTACACTACTAATGAGAGTTAAAGAAATAAGGCAGATTATTTAGGCCATGTATATATCAACTGAAAAGGAGACAGCTAGCATAAAAAAGTTGATATCACATTACATTCTTTGTTTTACAATTGTACATCTGACTTTTTGTGAATATATAGAGCAAACACAATTATAACATTAACAAGGAAACTGTCAAAACTTACAAAACAAGCATTCCATGTTACTGTATGTTTGTGTCTTTGTAACACAGAAAAAAACCTTTAGATGTGTTTGCTATCACATAGTCTTGGAAACTGTCAAAAAAAATGGTGTTTAAAAATTGATAGTCATACAATCAATAGCGAAACATTATTTAATATAATGAAAAATATCAAATTTAAAAAATTTGGTTCTGAAATAAGACGCTATACCAGAATGTTACCATTATGGTAAATTTCCATTTTTAAAAAAAATCAAAGCACTTTGCAATGACAAATAAACTTAAGTTTGGGTAGGATTGTTTATTATAATAAATACAGAGCATGATGAAAATCATTTAAATAACTTTATATAAATTATAAGCATATACTGATACAGACATGATAGAACAAATGGTTTATGTCACATGTTTAGTTTTGTTTACACATATTTTATCATTTACTACAGAGTACATGAATACAAGATAACAGAATTTTCTAGCTTAATATGAGACCTTCAAATTTATGAGTATTATATCATAGTAGAAGTTATAGTAAACTGTTCACTTCACTTGCATGCATAACTAACCAGCATTCATGGCCCCCGAGGAAATTCGAATGGTGGACCAACTTGCAATATTTCAAAACACCGACAAATATTTATTACACAAAACATATGAGACAAAAAGCTTTCACAAAGCTTTATATCACATCTTTTTACATAATGTCTAAACTATTAAATGTAAAGTTAACATCTTACTTTCCTGTCACTGTCAGTATGTTTTCAAAAAGTAAACAAAATTCAAATTGTGCTCTAAACCCACGGGCACCTGTTGGTTCCTAAAAATAAACGCATACTCGAAACAATCTTACCTATATAGAATTTTCTCTCATTTATTCCATGGTCTTTTAGAGTGTAAATCTATTTTTTTGGAATCTCACTGTTCATTTCTTTAATCTTCGATTTCGATGTTTATTATAGGTTCAATATGGACGGTAGCATTGTCACGTGACCAATTTTTTTGCGAATTCATTGGTTGTTTTTCATAATCAAACCACGTGCCGCGATTTTTTAAAATCAAGTTTTACACGTGTCCTCTGACGATTTAAAATTTGAAATCTTGCACGATTTCCTTTGAAATTCTTAATTGTTTAACTGAATACAATTTCTTAAAGACTAAATGAATTTATTGGGATTATCAGTCGGGGAATGAACATCATTCAAACTTTATCAAATTATGACATTAATCTCATTTTCATGGGTTTTGTATATTAAATAAAAAATGTTCAAAAGCAGATTAATATGTTTAAGTAACCTTCACACTAAACGCAATTTGCCAAAATCTAAACTATCTCATATGGGGATTCATTGAAGCCTTCAACTGTTCAAGGTGAGAAGGGAGAATTAGGATTCGAAGGGAGGAAAGGCCGGGGTAAGAATCCGGGATGTTTCGCGCCTATTCTGTTTCATCACATTTTCATCCGTTTTAAATTATTTATCAAATATGATATAAATATTTTGTGTGCTCAAATTCATGACTTAATAACATGCTCTGCTATAGTTAACGGATCGTACGGTGCGCGTTTGCTCAGCGTGTCTGTTCAACGAAGATTTAATTGTAATAAGTTGGAGATCAAAAGGTGAGAATTTAAGTTGATGTGTGGGGGTGTGTTCCCGTTTTGCACACATTTGATAATTAGTTATAGAACAATAGGTGTGAAATATGTTTTGATACCAATTATAGTCTGATCCCAGTCTGGGGTTTACCTGGAAATACCTGTATTTCACCAATGTCCAAGCCAGCAATAATTACTTAATTAGATGGCGGTATTATAATTATCTACTTATACGTAATTAGCACGGTGTTATAATAATTCATAATTATTCTATGTATGTATACTTCAAACACAGACAAATAATTTACATCTCTGCTTCAAATATATAATCTTCTTAAATTAAAAAAAAAAATGTTCCAAAAATATCTATATTTACATATATTTAAAATCTAAAATTTTGTTAAATGAACTAAACTCAGTAGCACATTTATGTACTTGGAGTGAAACATCGGGGGCGAACCATCTCAGCGCGAAACAGAATTGGCGCGAAACATCATGGGGGGAACCATGCATTGGTGCGAAACATCCCGTTACCCGGGGTAATGGGTCCGTTCGT